ATTCCGACCATGTAGGTGAATAAGCAACTGAACGATGATGACTAAATGTATCAAATGAATATTTGCCATGATAATTTCCAAGACCACTTTCACCAACACCACCAAATGGTAAACATGGTGCAGCTATTTGAAAGATAACATCATTAATACAAGTTGAACCTGAACTTGTTGAATTAATAATTGTATTAGCTAAATTTTTATTTGATGTAAATACATAAAGAGCTAATGGTTTTGGTCGAGTATTAATCAAATCAATAGCTTCATGTTCATTATTAACTGTTATTATTGGAAGAATTGGTCCAAAAATTTCTTCTTGCATTACTTTACCAGCTATATTGACATTTGTCCTAAAGAAAAAAAAGTAAAAAAAATACAAGCAATAGAAATTATTAACAAAAAATTTTCTTTTTCTTTATACATGATTGTTGGTGCAATATAATTTTGTTTAGCATCTGTTTCTTCACCATAAACAACTTTTGTTGTATCAATTAATTTTTTTACACGTTCAAAATGTCGTTCATTAACAATATGACAATATGAATCCGAATTAATTGGATTATCTGTATAGAATGATTGCCAAGCTTTGATTATTTCTGGTATAAGACGATTTTCTGTTGTTTTTGAACATAAAATATAATCAGGTGCTAAACTAAAATAAAATAAATCTGTGAACGTTTTTTTTGTTTTCAACTAAACTTTTCAACTTTTCAATTCTTATCGCATCAAAAACATCTATTTTTGTAATACGAATATGTATTATAGTGAATTTTAAAAAAAATGTTTATTCACTACTTTTAACATAGTTAATTTTATATGTTTTCTATAGTAGTTTTCATCTTTTCTCTTTTGAAAGAGTCCAGTATCTATTTATGGTATATTGTTAATAGTTTGTATTACCGAACTTATTGTATAGTATCAGTAAATAATGGAAAAAAAGTGTGATATAAAGATCAGTGTAAATTTTATTTGTTGTGTTTTTGAAATATTTCTATAAGTTAAATTAAGAATTTCATTTGTATTATCATGTACTTGAGAATGTGAACTCACAAAAATTATGAATAAGATTTTTGTCATTATTGTGATGTCTATTCGAAAGTTAAATATTTTATTCTCCAATAAAATGATCAACATTTTCAAATACAAAAAAGAATTATCAAAAATTAAGAAAATTAGTTTTTAGAAATTGAAATATTTTTAATATCAACTATGCAATACGATTTCTTTGTTAGTTACTCGCTGATATAAGAAATAAATCATGATGAGTAATATACGAAATCCAAATCTTAAATCATTTACTTGTGTAACTTATTAAATTTTTACCAACGGATGGTTTATTTCTACAGTATCGTTTCGAACCATTATCTTTTCAAAGTTTACATACATCTTCTTATTTTCTTTCATAGTTCTCTGTTTTTTTTCTATTATTTAGCTAAAACATCAGTTTTTGAATTAGTTTGTACAATAATCTATATGTTCCTTATTATTTATTATATGATCATCGAAATTTCTAGGATTGTTTGAATGAAATAGTCCTATCTATTACATTTTTGATCTTATATTGAACTTGGTATCATCGACTGTTCATGGGTAGTATTAGTGTCGATATCAAGAATCGATTCGTATTTGGTGATCATTTCAAAGAAACAAATGGATATACTTATATTAATCTACAATTAGCAGCTTATGTAAATGATGTTTTGTTGTTTTTTTGGTACATTATGCAAAGTTGAGGAAAATTCGAGAGTAGGCTCCGGAGATGGCTTTGCCATTTGGCTCAGGAACAAGCTACAGACTTGGGAATTTCAGCATTAGATAGAGGACAGTTAGTCGATTCTAGAGTACTAATAAAAGTTAAAATTCTGGTTGGGCTTCATAGAGATATTTTAGCCTAAAAAGCAGGACACGGAAAAAAAACATCCACTACAAAAAATGATCACCTCAACGAGAGTGGTATTTATGGTAAAATTTTCAGACTTCTCGCATTTGTAATAGAGGAGCTAGATAAGGTCCACCTTGTCCTCCCCATTTGAACCTCTTCACAAAATTTTCAATTTTTTCGAACCTACAGCTATGCTTACAGGCACGAGTCTCACAAGCCTCGAAAGTTTCATTCCATTCCGATGAATTCAATGTAAACTCTCGTACACTCTCGATAGAAGCACGCCCCCCCCCCCCCCCTATGGATCAAAACTCCGCAAGGTGCATTTTTCAATGTCATCCGTACACTCTATTATCCAATCAATCTTGTACGGACCTCTGCTAGCTTCTACCATGTGTTGAAAATATTTCTCAAAGATTCTCAAAAACTCGAAGATTTCAAAATTCTCAGGGTGGGAGACATACATCCCACTGAATTATAAGATGCTGCTACATTTCTTGGACCATTTTGTTTGTATGAGTATGTTTATTACAATAATCAGTGATAGTTTTCGTATTGTTCGAGAGATAATGCAAAGAATAATTTTGATGAAGATCATCAAATTGTAATATTTATATTTATATTTTATTGAAATAATTTTTTATTTTAAGGATTAAGAAAATTCCATCGAAGAACGCAATGAATAAATGCGATCAAAATATTGTGATCTAATTTGAAAGTTTTCGTAATAAAATAGAACAATTATTAGATGCACTTAATCGAATACGATTAATTTAAAAAAATAATACTATGACTTATGTATTTATTTATAATTAGTTTCACAATAAGTCAACAAAATGAAAATAATTAACATATTTAATTAAGTTATAATAGATATTCTCAAAACTAATGATCTTCATTGACAAATATTTTATATGAAAAATCATAGCAGAAAAATTGTAAATCTGCTTGAATAAATAAATAAAAATATTTAATGTTCCATCATATCAATTGCTTTTGAAAGTAAATTATTGATTTGTTCTTGTTGTAAACTTGCTGAATTTGTTGCTCGTGCTAATACATTTGGTGCTTTACCAGCTTGAAATGCTTCGAACCATCGAGATGCACATAAACACCATTTATCACCTACTTTAAGACCTGGAAAAACAGGTGGATGTGGAGTAGATAAATCATTTCCTTGAGAACTTGTATAATCAAGAAATTCTTGTGTCATTTGTGCACATACAGTATGTAAACCATAATCATCTGGACATGTAGCACAATAACCTAATAATATTTCAATAATTATTTTTCTGATTTAATTAGAATTTCTTTCCTATTTTTACCATTTCGAAAAAAACCTGTTAATGGTGAATTAGAACACATTTCTAATGATGTTCCAATTAAATTTTGAAATGATTGATATCCATTTAATACAAAACCACCGTTTATTGTCATGTTATGTTTTATTTTGTGAAATACGATCTAAAAAGAATGTTCAAGTATAGAAGTAGACATTTGAACTTTCACACTCAAATGTGACATACATCTTACGAGGAAACTACTAGAACTATTACCCACCGTTTGAGACCATATTGGGTTTCTAAGAAGATCGACACGAACCATTTTAAGATTTTTCAAGTCTTACTGAGATCTCATTGTGAACTCAAACGGCGAATATTTTCGACGTTTTAGCAACGATCTATTACAGACATCCTTAATAAAATCTCTCCTTCATCATAGTTCGCGATGATCTCTCTTCCACGTTTCAGACTGTGATAAACGTTATTCATGTAAATCCGACAAGGATTGTACTAACAGTTTTTTAAAGAATTAAAATCTAAAATTGAATAGATCGACATATAGACTTTTTTTTCTGATTTATGAACAAAAGAAAGATAAATACAAAAACAAGACATACACATGAATAGGTTTTTTTTCTTTCAATTTAACGAATACAAAAAAAACAAAAAAAAAAGAAAAATAAGATTTATTTCGGTTTACAAATGCATTTTATTTCCTTCAATACTAAGTTTAACAATAGACATTGGTTTGGAATTTCGTTTTCGATCTTGTTGTCGTCGTTTGATTGCATCTAAACGTGATATTGTTCTCTTTTTACCATCACCCTAGATGATTTAAAGAAATAAAAATAGAAGATTTTAATGAGAAAAATAAACAAACCTTTTTGTCTGAATATTCAACAGTCGAAACCGGACGTACAACATAATCTTTATTTGATGGCCGTGGAACACGAGCTCGTGGACAATCCTCATCTTTATTCAATTCATCATCATCATCTTGTCGTCTAAAAAAATAATTACAACTCATTAGGTTCATATCTGTTTGATACATTAAATCAATTAAACTATAGATTCCATTAGACTTTATGAACGTCAACAATATGCATCGTCCACATGTTCATCATACCTGCTATTAAATTCTATTACTAGGACTTTTATAAATCGTTAACAAACTCGTTCGTCTGATTATCTCATTTTGTTAATAGCCTTAAGTCTTCTAGAATAGCAGTGAAAATCTCTCCATGATATTCCTAATAAAAATTCATTATAATTACCTATCACTAGAAAAAGGCAAATCTACATCAGCACTTCGATTTTTTGGTTTTCCTGTTAATGAAGTTTGTCGTTTAAGTGAAGCTTGATCAACATCACGTTGTTGTCGTTCTTCACGTGTTAAAAGTTTATAATCTGTATCCAAATTAAATATTGGTCGAGCCCAATCATCTTTTAAAAAATAAAGAATAAAAATTCAAACAAACAAACAAACAAACAAAACATAAACATACGAATAATTTTGATTAATTTTATTTTATTTTCTTTTGTTTCACGTGGATGTTTATATAAATACATAAGAGCTTTTCCAATACCACTATCACGTAAAGGATCAGCATTAATAACACCAAACTTAGAAAAATAAAGACATTAAAAAAGAAAAAACAATTATTTGAACATACTTGTTGAAGAATTTTAATAAGTGATTCTCGAATTTTAATATTAGGTAAACTTTTATCTGGTAATGGACTAAGCCAATCCTAGAAAATAAATTTTAGAAAGAATGTTTCTTTTGTGTTTTGTTTTTGAATTATATATTTACTTTAAAAACAGTTAAGATTCCATTATCAAGAAATATTTCCGTTAAATCAGCTCGACATAATTGTTGTTCAACTGTAGGTAATAAAAGAAGTTTAGCTGTAGCTGGTTGTCGACTTTTATTAAATATTCGATCTTCTTCAGTAGCTATTTTCATTTGATCAATTAATTTTGATACAAGTTGATCACCATCAGGACCAGCTAAATCAATATCACCATTTTTTCCACCACGACGTCGATTTCCACGACGTTTTTCAGCTCTTTTTTCCAAATATAAATCGATATCATAACCAATATTACTAATAAAAACAAAAAAAAGAAATATTTTCATATTGAAATATTATGAATTTTATATATATACATACTTTTTTGATGTAGAATAATTTGATTTATGTGCTGATATTTCTTCATCTTCACCTTCTTCAGTATCAAAAGTTTGTTGTTGTTCATCTTCTTCTTCTTCTCCTCCTTCTTCTTGTACTACTTCATTATCATCATTAAGTTCTGCTAATTCAGCAGCAACTTCTTCTTGATCATTACCTTCCTCCTAATTCATTATTGTATATTAGAAATTAAAAGAAAAATAATTTCTCTTACTTCATTATCATTTACATCTTTTCCAAATATATCATCAACAACATCTTCAACATCAGATCTAAAGCAAAAAATTCAATATTAAACTAAATCTAAGAAATTTCATTGTGAATATTCGATCACATCCGAAAATTTAGGACCGACGAGATGGTATTGCACGATGAGAAACAAACAGAAATCATTCTTTCATCGATATAAATATACACCCTCAAAATTTTTGTTACTGATTTTTAAGTGGGATTCAAAAATTAGCTTCGAAACACTCGTATCGATGAGAAAATCAAGTTTTTGATAATATTAAACTGCCTGATAGATATTCTGTATAGCTTAGATGCGTGCCATATCCAAATTCGATTGGAAAACTCAGAAAAATGATAGGAACTTGAAAGCAGGAATTCGATGATCGAATTTCAGGCAAGACCGACCATCGAATTTCTGCTTCTAAGTTCTAAAGATTTGATGTATACATACGTAGCTTCAACAATATCTGTATTTTTTTCTTGTGGTTCTTCAGTATTATTATTATCTTCATCATCATCATTAGAAGTTTTTCGAAAACGTTTAGATTTATGATCATGACGATGTTGATGTTCATCACTATGACGTTTTTTATGTTTTTTATGTGAATCATCATTTTTCATTCTACAAAAAAATAATATAATAGATATAAGAAAATTAACTTTTTGTTTTTTGTTTTTTGCAAAATATTTACGTAAATTGTTTAAGAAAATGACGATTTCTATCTTTACTAACAACACTAGTTGATTCAATAGGTTGTTCTTCTTCATTATCGGAATCATCCATAATTTGTACACGACGACGTTGTTGTAATTGAGATTGTTTTTGATTTGTATCATGATCTTCTTCATTGTCGTCGTTGTTCTTCTCGTTTTCTTCTTCAACTTCTTGTTGTTCGTTCGAATCATCAATTTGTGGTGAACTTGGTTCTACTTCTTCATTATTATCATCTTCTTGTTCTTGTTCTTGTTCTTGTTCTTGTTGATTATCAGACATTTCATTTTGTCCTTCATTCTCATCTTCATCCGGAGATTCAATACCAGTTGGATATGAACGTTCTTGAGTTTGAGTAAAACCTAGATAGAAAGATTTTTTTTTTATTATATAAAATATAAAAGTATATTAACCAAGTTCATTTATTCCCTGTTCTTCAGGTTCAGGTGATTGTGGTCCTTCTAATTCTTCTTCTTCATCATCATCTTCTAGTTGTTGTTGTTGGTCTTCTTCTTCTTCATCAACTACATTATTTTCATCTTGATCTTCATCATCTAATGTTGATGTAAAATCACCATAACCTTGACTAGCTGCTTGAGTAAATGGATTTGGTGCTTGACTCATCTATAAAAACTGATTTAGATTTTGATTATTGATTTTAAATACTTTTTTGCTGATAATATTATCTAAACAAAAGAATGAGTATTAGAACAAAAAAAAATTAGTAAAATCAATGTATGAATAGGAAGTGTCTCAATTATTTTATTTCTGATGGAAATGGACTCTTTTTCAAAGAGTGAGGAAGCTTAAATATAAATATGCCTATATGATTTCAAATATCTCTAAATGAAAAATATTATCTTACCTTTATAATAATTTAATTCACCAAATTGATATATATATAAATTCGTTCGTATATGTTCAAATTAATCTAGAATAACACCAAAAACAAACTACTAGAATCCATATGTACTTATTCGAATAAGACAATATTTGTTGTTTGTTGATGTTTGTTTGTTTTTTTTATATAATTAAAGAAGAAGAAAAAAAAAACTAGAGAAGTTTAACATCGATAAAAAGGAATAGAGCAATAAATGGCCAAATAATAAAGAGAAAAATGAACGATCACTACACGCAAATAAACGTTGATCAAAACAACTACATAGAACAAATCTTTATCTTTTCTTTCTTATTTTTTTTTAACTAGTCTGCCATCGAACACATCTTTTTTTTTTTTTTTGGTTTTGGATGCATGTAGTTTTTATTACAGTGTGCAAACAAACGATCAAAAATGAGAAAGAAAGAAAAAAACAAAAAACAAAAGAACGAAACGAAAAAGAAGAAGAACACCGAAGAAGTTATAATATATATGTGCTTGATTTTTTTTTTCTGTACAAACAAGAAATAGAAAGAAGATGTTCACGAAAGTAGAAATGCATATTGACCATCTCGTATTGCTGTTGTTAATTTTGCTTTCATTATTTCTTTTGATGAATAATCTGGCAATTTGAGATAGTTGACACAGGTCATTACACTTGGTAAAAATAAATCTGGATTATTATCACTATTATTTTCTGCTGTTTTGCGTACAATTGTTAATGGAGGATGTAACATTCGAAAACCTATAAAATTATGTTTAAATCTTTTTAGACTATAAGGACTCAAGAAAGCAAATACAAAGATGTGTATCGTGGTTGAAAATCTATCGCATCGTTACCGCTACGGTGGCAGGGACATCATGGTGGACATTAAGGAAAAAATCAGATACTTAGTGGAACGTTTACATGTCTTAGTGCATATTAATGAATCTGTTAAGTGAAGGAGAAAGGAAACACTGATTTAACAGAGGAGTATTCTCAACAATCAGATCCTGCTCAATCTGATATTATGGCTACGAGTAGATCTCTATGAGACTAAGAAAAGCTTCAAAGAATTTCACTTGGGAATGCTCCGTTGTAAGGATATCTTACTTTTTCCTACTTTACAGTGTATAGAGTACTGCCCGGAAGTAGTATTATTAGCCTGATATCTTTCCTATAAATATTACTAGGTCTCTAACTCACAGTTCTCTGGCTACATTGCTTGAGCTCCCTGAACACATTGACTAGTCAAAAGAATATTTAGTTAACATGCTATCGGACGAGAGATCTAAGGTAAACAACAATTCATGACGTTTCCTAAAGTCACTGAGATTCGGACATGCTTCTTTAAGAGTATGCACTAGAAAATGTAATCATTCAACAATAACAGATCAAACTAAGCCATTAACTTTCTCGCAAATCTATCGATTCGAACACCTGTATTGTTGATATTCTACAAGTTACTACTGCTATTTTTTCTAACACTAAAGACAGTCTTATATGTCAACTCTTACTAAAACTCAGAGTTTGTACCTTTAGTTACTATAAAATGATTTCTAACAAAATTCAGCCTAGAGATAGCTATAACTTTAGGCTTTCGAATGAAGGATTGGATGAAAATATTTGTGCTACCATCGTTGAGATAATTTCTATCTTCCTTTTGTATTATCGACAAAATCGATGATTAATCGCGGTTACTATAACATTCTTCAGTTCAAACAGTATACTCTTTTTTTTCCCAAAAAAAGACAATTTTTTATTGATTATAGTATATTTTGTTAAAATGACGATGCAATTATTTCTATTGGTTTTATCTTTCGGCTAATGAATCTAATTTTTTTATAGCGCCATCTATACTACAAAATCAAACTCGTACGTAAATGCGGTGAGTACACAGATGAGTTGAGTGCACTCACAATAAGAAAATAAAGCGATTTTGACTATGATTTAACATTTTTCTAAAGATTAAAAAGTTCAATTAGAAGAACTGACGATTTTCACTACATGGAAAAATGAATTACTGCCGAGTTGAAAACCGCAGACTTCACGATTGAAGTGTCCACTCAATGGCATAGGCGTGTTACATGAAAAAACTATCTTAAGAATGGCTAAACGTATCGAGCTGTCCTCTGGTTTTTCAGGGTTTCTCGACGTGCTCTTTCTTTTGTCTAGCGGACATTTTTGTCCAAAATACTGGGAAATAGGTTTTCTAGAAAATCATGGTTTTATAGAAAACCTACTTCTCAGCATTTTGGATAAAAGTATTCGCTAGACAAAGGAAAGAGCACATCGAGACACCCTTAAAAACCAGAGGACAGTTCGATACGTTCAGCCGTTCTTAAGATAGTCTATACCAACAGGCTTGAAAAGTTACTGCCGATTAGTTTTCTTTTTTTTTGACGATGACAATAACTAGAAACTCCAAACCTTATCGCTCAAAGAATACAACTGCTCATTACTGACCTCCAACAGGTAAACGTGGACTACCAGTAACAAATTGTAGAAATGCTCGTTGTTCATCAATATCAAAATTAATCATTATATCAAAAAGCCATTTAACAGCTCGACTATTTAAATTATAACCATGATCACAACGTGTTGATTCAAGTAAAACTTTAAGATCCCATAAATCTGTTGATCCACTACCACAAAATACTTGATGAAGCTATATTAAAAATACAAAATAGAAAAAAAAAATTATTTAATAATTTTTTTGTTAAATATACTTCATCAGGATAGAAACATTTTAAATGTTGAATAGGAAATATTGAATTAAATCCATCACGAAATGATTCAAATTGACGTCGAACACCTTCAATTAATGTCCAATAGACAACTAACTAAAACACAAAAAAAAAAACGAAATTTCATATTGTCTTTTTTTGTATATAAATTTAATTATTTTTTCTTTTACATTAACATATTGCTCAAGATTTTCAATTGTAACTAAACAATCTTTTCCACCTTTTTTTAATTCAATATTTGAATAACCAGGTAATGTAAATACTAATGATAAATCATTAATTTTACAACCATCAAATAATAATCTATCATCATTTTCATCAAATATATTTGTATATGTTAAATTTTCTATTTGATAATCATCTTTAGTTTTTAAATTTTTTTTATTATTTAATTTATTTGTTAAATCATTTTGTTTAATTAATTTATTACGTAAATTTATTATAGATTGAAATTTTTTAAATTGTTCATATAAATTTATATCAACATGTATAAGATCTTCAAGATTTAATGTTTCTTCTTGTCCTAATAACCATTTATAAAAAACAATACTAAATTGCATATCAATCTAAAATGAAATTATTGATTTTTTTTTTTTTTATATTTAAAATAGCAAAAACAATTTACCATTCTCGAATCCATCAGTGCTTTAGCCATAAATTTACCAAGAAATTTAAATTTTTGACGAATTTTTGTTACAATACTTGCTTTTGCATTACGACCAAGTGATGCTGGATAAAGACCATTACGAGTATCAACATAGTCAGAAAATGTTGCATCTTTATCTATATAGAAAAAGATCAAAAAGAAATTAGATATCTATAATCTTAGTTTAACAATCTAAGCATCGTAGAAAATATACATTACAACTTCAATTGAATTAGTAGTGTAGAAATCATTATGAGTTTTCAACTATCTTGTGGCACCTACACCTGATGCTATAGGGTTTTTTAAAAAGTGAACTTGAAATTCCCGAATATAGACTTTCCTGGGACGCTCTTAACTGCGCCAAAGATCCGCCAGTGGATCTCACAGCATCATTAGGGAATCTTCGCAGCTCCTAATCAAGATTTATCTGGGGTTTCCTATAGATCCTTTCAGGAACTCTCAGAGAACTGTAATAGTTGAAAACTCGGAACAGGTCTTCGAATTTGATATGTATGGACTGAATTCAGAATATCAAGATTATTTATCTTTATGTCAAAAGAATATATTATTCATTTTCTTTTACAAAGACTAATAACTGATGAAAATCTATATTGGAGGAAATAGTATATTATTGAGTGTATTGAAACAAAACTTTGAATCTAAACGAATTTTTAGTTCGAAAAAATATGACTTATATTAAATTTATTCATATCACTTTTAATTAGTAAAAACAAACCTTTTATTGAATCAAAAATTTTGTCAGTTTTCCATAATTCTAAACCATTTTTTTGTAATTCTTTTGATAATAATGCATAAGCTTCAAGTGTTGGTCCAAGACCAAAACCAACCTAAATATAAAACTTAATTATACAAAAAAAAAATTCGATTTTTTTGTTTTATCTTTACTTCATCTTCATATTGAACTTCAAGAAAATGTTTTGAATTCCAATTATCAAGAATTTTTTCCATTTCATAAAGAATATTTATTCGTGATAATTGTACTTTTTTTCTTTCAATTCTCGGTATAATTGATTGTCTATCTGTTTGATCATTATTATGTTGTTGTGTTAATATATCTGAACTATCTAAAAGTCTTTGCATTGCACGTTCACGATCAAATGCACATGGATAAAAAAGCATTTGTCGTGTTTCAAATGGAAATAAAAATAAACATGAATAACCAATTTCAATTATCCATGATGGTATTTGTCCCATCATAATAACAATAGGATCTTGTAATTGTCGATTTATTTTTGATGTTAATTTTGTTGATAAAAATTCATTTTTAGATATTAATGTTAATATTGAATTTTGATTATTTAATATTGTATTTGTATTTATATAAAGATCATACCAATAAAGATTTAAACAATT